ATATGTGGGGACTTTCTGTTATCATATTTATTAAGGAAGAAAAACCCTAAAAACAGATACAAATGTAATTTCAGAGGAGTCACAGGGGGAAGAGTTGAAGCTGGTGTGCCGCAGAGTTTCAGGACCTTGGCCTGCAGGTGACAGTAGGCACAGGCACCCCTGGGCTCCTGGCACATGTGTCATGCACCTGCCCTCCTCTCTTGGCCCTGCAGAGATCTCTGACCCCACCTCTAGGGGGATTTAACTGTTCCTGGGCTTGAGGAGCCTGGCTGATACTGCTTCCCTGGGACAGAGGCATTGTGACACAGCTGTGGAACCTGATGATGTCGCCGCCACCCAGCAGGCTCCCTGCACATCAACTGGCAGTTGGAGGACACCAGATGCAGCTGGGTTGGTTTTCTAGACCGGAGGTGGACAGATTCCAGGTAGAGGTGGGTGGGAGCTGCTCTCCTTGTGCCCAGAGCAGGGGCCAGTGACTATGAGGCGAGTGGTGCTGACCTCTCAGGGCTGCTGCCCACTGTGATGGCAGCTGAGCACTCAGCAGCCCATTGTGTGCTGTGTATACAGTTGTCTCATAATTCCTGAGAGGGAGAGGGAGAGGGAGAGGGAGAGGAATGTATGTTTTCCACCTGCTAGTTTACTTTCCCATTGGCTGCAACAAACAGGCCTAGACCAACTTGAAATGAGGAACCAGGAGCTTCATCAAAGTCCACCACAAGGTGGCAGAGTCTCAAGTACTTGGGGCACCATCCACTGCTTTCAGTGGTGCATTAGTAGGAAACTGGAAAAGAAGTGGAGGAGCTGGGATTTGAACTAGCACTGTGATATGGGATGCCAACATCTCTAGCAGTGGTTTAATCCACTGCAACACCAACACAATGCCAGTCTGTGAATAAAGATTTTCAAATTTACTTGTTTATTATTTATCCATCCATTCATTCATTTGAAAGCTAGAGTGAAGCAGAGATCTTCCACCCACTAGCTCACATACCAAATGACTGCAACATCCAGGACAGAGTGGCAGGAGCCCAGGTACTCGGGCCCTCATCCAGTGCCTTCCATTCACATTAACAGGGAAACGGACTTTGAAGTGGAACGAACAGGATCCAGCCAGCACTCCAATATGGATGTTGGCATTGTAAGCAGAGGATCAACCCACTATGCCACAATTCCTGCCCCTGAATAAGAAGATTTTTCTGGAGACTTTTAGCCCAAAGAGGACCCCTCCATCTTTTAATCTTTGGAGAAAAAGAAATGAAGAATAAAACCACTGAAAGGTAGGAGCCCAATAAACAGCCTAAAATTTAGCAAAAATTGGGGCAGGATTCAAATCGTGTTTCTGTGGCTATCAAATTACTACTTGATAAAACTGACATACTATAAACTTGAAACTTTTCACATTTTATTGCTGTTAGAAATTACTTTATTTAGTCAAGCTTTGCTCTCTTTACTATCATTATCTATCTAAGCATTCCAACACAGAGACCCCCATCATAAATGAGCTGTCCACTTGCTCATATTCATTCTCTATTTAGTATCTGGTGCCCAATTGTAATAGTTCGAATAAGCTTATACAATTTTAAGACTGAGAAGTTTTAGGAAGTGAGACTTTTCACATCTAGTTTTGGAAGAATCTCTAAGTGAGACTTTTTGACTCCAATTTTGGAAGGCGTAACTACTATAATTATAGAGGGTCTTATGAGAACCTAGACCCACCCTTAACCCAGCTACTCCCCACCTCTATAGACAGGGATGCAATAAAGATCTGAGGCAGGTGAGGGAAAGACACAGGGCTCCAAGCACATCGACAAACCTGCAGGCCTCCTCAGTGACACAGACGCAAAGGGCCCGCGCTACCTGCCTCTCCACGGTTCCACCAGTCCTGCTGCTGCTTCTCTTGTCTAAAGAATAAAGACTGTAGTTTAAGATCTCTTCAAAGTCAGAAAGCTGGGGTCCACATCGCAGCTCTGCCACTTTCCGTGAGACTAGACCAAGGTACACAGGTCTGTCAGCTTCTTTCCACTTCTTTCATAGGGCTGCTTCGAGGATTAAATATCATAAGGAATTGTATGTAATCACTGACAAACAAAAATGGGCACAGTAACTAAAAAACTGTAGACTGATTTTTCAAACAGCCCGCACAACCAGACTACCAGGCAGTGTTGTGTGTTCGCTCCCTGACCCAGGAAGCTAGTTTGAAAGGTTTCACACTGTGGGCTTGTGTAAAGACTTTAAAATAACAGTTTATAACCACAATGCACAAATCTCATGTGTGTGCCAAAGGTCCACCCAAACCCGATTCAGACAGACTTGCATCGCCTGTGACACTTGGCACATCGGCCTCCCGTGTCCAGGGATTGACCCCCATGTCTGCAAGGCTGGGAGACATTTTTCTACGTCCCCTTTTCTGCTGCTTTCATCCGTTGGTCATCCTAGTTGTTCCAGGCTGCTGGATGACACATAAAGAAAAAAAAAGTCAACCCGGCCCCTGTCCCAGTAGGGTTTCCCACAGGAAGGAGAGGGACGCAAAAGTGCCTATGTGAGCACATCACTCCTCTCCCGGCAGCACCCTAATTCCCTTTCCCTCGTGCTGCCCTAACTTCCCTAGAGGAGCAGGGTCATGAAACCTTCCCAGAACACACGCTATTCAAGAAAAAGCTGAAATCCTACCTTTGAGAAAAGGCGTGTTTCTGTGTTCTTGGCCTATTCTCTT